ACTTCTATCCGTATTAGACAGAACTGTTAACGACGACAGCGAACAAGAGGGAGAATGTGAGCACTGTGTGCTCAGGTTGCCTCTGTCAGCGCTGTCAAAATAAAAGTCCCGCCTCGAACGCATCGGCCAAACAGAAAAACTTATCGGCCGATGCCGATATTTGAAAAATGCCAAATATCGGCCGATATATCGGTCGACCACTAATAAGGACCTGTAAGACGACTTCAAAAAAATGTATTTTATTTATAACATTACATGGAAAAAGGGCAAATATGAAAGAAATGTATTGTGTACTATTGTTTGAATGGAGGTAGGTCTAATTTAGCCACACCTATTGCAACAGCTCTAGCTTCTTTACAACCAGGAAATTCCCTCCTGAATCAAGAAATGGGTGTTATTTCACCCCATGAAGCAGATCAGTGTGCTTCCCGTCAGTATCAGTTATAAAGGACTTGCTATAAAATACTGATATAAAGTGTTCAGTAAGTATGATATGCAAAATGTTTCCCTTTACAAGGACTCCACAGCATGCTGGCTGTGGCTCAAAAACAGTGGCTCAGTTCCTTCAACGGTGTGTTTGCTACAAGCTTCGGCAAGCCATTTCATTTATTTTCTGGCAACTGTTCAAATAGGAAATCAGACATTTATCAAAATGCCCATAATAGAGGATTACACAAGAACAGCCTGAACAAGGAAGAGTCCTCTCAGCTTTTTAACTTAAAAAGACTCTAAAATTCTAAATAACCAAACAAATAATTGTATAAATATATGCAAGCGATCAAATAATACATGCATGACTTTGCATTTAAGACTTTAGCTGAACACTCCCGATTTTATGAATAATAGATTATTATGAACAACCCCGTCAAATCACCTGTCGTCCCATGCGAGTCGGGCGTCTGTTGTGACTGTGTGTTGGAGCTGGACAGCGGACTGAAGATCGCACATCTCCTCTGCTGCTTCACATGTTGAAGGAGTTCATACAGAACATCACCTGTTCAAAAAAGTTTCCATTCACAGTACACAGTTATCATGAAAGCTATGAACAAAACCGATAATTAGAATTAATTTCAGATCACACACCAGAGCTGGGACAGCGAAGACGGAAGTCGTCTTTGGTTAGAAGACAAAGTGCCTTTCCGTTCATCTCAAATTTTTGGTGGTCCGCACGTCGCAGAGAATATTCCCTCTGAGCCCAGCGCAGCCAGAGATTCACGTCCTCCTTATTCCACAAAGATGGATTGATCCCTTACATTACAACCATAAAACACAGTGTTAGTTCACCCAAAAATGAAAACACTGTCAGCATTGATTCATCCTCATGTCATTCCAAATTTGTATGAATTTGTTTATTTTATGGTCATTTTATGGGAATTTTGGAGAATGATGAAGCTGCAATGGACATGGCTACATAAAAACACCATCCGTAAATGCTTGATTTCCTATATTTTGTGTCATTTTAAACCCTTTTTAGAGCTAAATTTTGGTCATGATTTGGTGAACATCATTGCTTTTGTATGTGCATTTGAGCATATTCCAAACTGATGTGATGTACAACTGATGTGATGCACTCATGCATATTCAAAACTGATGTGATGTGATGTAATGCAATGCAGGCACAAAGTTTTAATATTTGCAAGTGTGACTTTGATTGAATAATGTCTATCTATTCCTCTCACAAAACTGTATATGGCTTTGGACTATAAGTAAACGACTTATACGTAAATATATGAAGACAAAAGCTTTATGCTACTGTCATGGTGCTATTTGTCATTTGAAGCCGTGTAGCCGCTGGTCACAATGTGGAAAAGTGTAGCTTTGTATCTCTGTTAAACATCTTTTGTGTTCTGTAGAAGAAGTCATGTTTGAAAGGGTATAATGTTGAGTACATTTGTTCTTTAATACACTTCGTTGTTATGATCTATAAGCTATTCGTGTACATATTTTATGTGGGAACATACGTAGTCTTCCAGGTAGCTTGCACAGTTCACCAGACACCGTCTTGTACCAGGAGGGAGGTTCATTTTGAGGGTCGCGCAGAACCGGAGAGCAAACCGGGGGTTCGTTCCCATTACAACTCTGCTGAAGATTGGAAGGGAAAGCAGAAAGAAGCATTCACTTCAATAAAAATCTAATAAATCTTAATCCATGTTTTCAGTGATGTATAATAAAGCATTTTTATGAATGAATCAGAAAGTACAGCAACTAGACAATCACTCTTGCTGTATGAAAACAAACTGAGGTCTCAATACACACAGGCACAGCAAAAGTGAAAGTACATTTGAGACGCAACAGTTTTTATTTTCAGTTTTGCACTGTCGCCTACATTTTTAATAAAGTATATTTGCATCAAAAATCTACATTAATATTAAACTTTTTTATTATGGCATTTGAGAGGGTTTACAAAATAACAACAACAAAAAAAAGTTAGTTGAATATAATATTTGCTTAAGTGAGCAGTTTGAGGTGATTTTCATGTGATTAAAGTATTTTTGTGCCACTGATTTGTGGCATTGACTACTAATTCAAAGTCATTTTATTTACTATACTATTATTTGGTGGTGAGTGAGTGCTGTGTGTCTATCACGGATCTTACCTTTATCAAAGGTGGCGGTGAGGAGGCGTCACTCATGTTCTGTAACCTTCAAGACTTCACAAACTCATAAATATTCGCTACAATAATAATACCTGATTACTGTATCAATAGCTGATCGATATATACACCAAATACAGCATGCGGTGTCGCGTAAAGTCGCAGTCTCGCACAGCAGAGTTTGCTTTCTTATGCGAATCGCTGCAATATTAAGAATCCTTCCGGGAAATGAAAACGAAAGAGAGCGGATCTGCCAGCGGCTGTGTGCACATGAATCTCGCAAACACTGCAGGGAAGAGATCGGTCCTGTGTTTGTGTTTCAGGTAGCCAATCTGGTATTTCCTGAAAACCCAGAGAGATTAAACGTGTGTGAATTAAGCACAGTGGTAAAACTTTAAAAGTGCAATAAGGTCGAAACTTTATGAACAACAAAGCAAGTTAACTAAATACTGTAGGCTACAGTAGAAGCTCTGAGATTAAAAAAAAAAAAAGATTAGGCTACTATTCTGCGTTTATGCTTATCCAGGTGGCGAGCAGGTATTTCTGTCAACAATTTTCTGTTGAGGCGCGCAGAGGTGGACAGTAACTAAGTACATTTACTTAAGTATTGTACTTAAGTACACTTTTTGAGTATCTGTACTTTACTAGAGTATTATTTTTTCTGGAAACTTATGACTTTAACCTCACTACATTTGAAAGACAAATATTGTACTTTTCACTCCACTACATTTCTATCAAGGTCCTCGAAGTAGAAAGTCGTTACTCTGTAGCAGCTTTGAAAGTCAGTGGGTGATTTTCCTTCTTCTCTAAAACTTGACTTTCTTTTTTTCAGACAGTTTATCAGTAATCACTCTTGTAGGATTACATGAAGTGATTTCCCAGCATTTTTTGAACACTGACCAGTTGCAAATGTGATATTTATTTACAACAATTCAATAATAAGAAGTTAATATTGTGGTATATATTAGACACAATATTGTCTGATTTTGCTAAATTGTGTACGTGAAAATATTACCTATAAAGCCACAGAAGAACTGTTGTGCGTCTCCTAATAAAACACAAAAGGTGTTTGACTGAAGCAGCACTGCACAGACCGTTCTGTGTGTGACATCAAAGTACTGGGAGAGCAATTAGAAAGCATTTTTTAAAATTTTGTTTTGATGTCAAATAAGTTTAAAACTATTTTGATTTTTTGTTAAAGCAGTGTTGCTGATGTAAAGTTATATAGCTACAGTTGTGTTGCTGGGTTTTAAAGCAGGTTTGATTTTGTTTCTTCCTTATCACTCTGTATTTACAGGATTTCACTGTCCACTCTGTTCAAATGTGATTGA